TACAGCTGGAAATCTGCATATAAAGCTAACTTTACTGTGGTGTTGGTGTTGAGGTTTAAACTCGAACCTACGTTCTGGAATATTTCAGTATAGATCGGCATATCCCCAACTTCATCCCCATACTTCAGATGTACTGACTGAGCCTAATTGTGGCATGGAAGCCAGTGCGGTCTTCGGTCTGCTTGATGACTTTGTAACTGTAGATGTGATACCTATGACCAGCTGGGAGAAAATCCTACAGCACCAACAACAAGCAGTCTTAGTTGACTAACAAGCTGAAACTGAAGTTACAACACTAGATTTAGTAAATGGATGATGCTAGCTAACAAATGTTTTTTATTATCACTGGGTGTTGGGAGATGTTCTCATCTGTTCTATGACAGGGAAATCTATCAGCAACAGTCAAAGAGCCAGTTACTTTACTTGTCTTCATCTTGAGGTAAAATGGAAGATGGAGGGTTACTGGCTGGAAATGATCATGAACAGAAGTTGAATTCCCCAGGCTCGACAAGAAATCACTGACAAAAGAAATCATATACGTTCCACTGTTTATTTCTTTGATAGAATCAAAGGTGCGTCTATCACAATTCTGAGAATACCCTCCCTGACCTGATATTATATTTGGTTAGTCAAGAAATCACATTTCTTTAGTCAGACTGCCTGACACACCCCTATCCAGTTCACACATTCTGATTGGTTCCCCACCCCTATCCAGTTCACACATTCTGATTGGTTCCCCACCCCTATCCAGTTCACACATTCTGATTGGTTCCCCACCCCTAAGGTGCCAGCTGTGTCAGTGACACACAAACTCCTCAGGCCTTATATACTTCATATGCAATGTTTTAAGCACATTATTGCAATATTCTAAGCACACGATTATTATTTTCTGTTATTTTTCTGTTAATCAGCTTCTTCTCCTTTGCAGACCGTCCGTCAAAGCCATCCCATCTCCCATGCAGGGCTAGGGTGCCAACTACTGCGGGGGCACTGACTTGCCGGGCAATTTCACTTTGCCTCAGATAGGGGGCACCGGCAGTAATGCTCACCTAGGGTGCCACATTGGCTATGACCGGCCCTGCTCCCATGTCTCCAACCTCGGACAGTGGATAATTGCACTAGCAACTGACCAGAGAAGTACCTTTAGCTGTAGATTAACCAGCATAAATTGTTCCACTGAACATCACAGACAGTCGTTCCTCCCAATGGCCATTACACCGTATAACCCCATCTCTCTTAAATCGTCACCCAGACAATAAACTGTCCTCCCTGTCCCTCATGTCTTCTAAATGTGCAATAACTTTTAAGTATGTGCAATATATTATAAATTAAATGTTCACATTCTGTGATACAATATTATTATATGTAATAATAATTTACCAGTGTGTAATATTATTTATATACACATCATGGGCTATGTAAGGGGTGGCCAATCTTATCTGCAAAGGGCCGGTGTGTATGCAGGTTTTCGCTGCAGCTCCCTAATTATATTACTAATTCGAGGACTGATTGGCTGAAGAGTCCTTACACCTGACCTAAAGGTTATCCCAAAAACCTACATACACACTGGCCCTTTGCGGACAAGACTGGCCACCGCTGGTCTATGTAATACTATTATGTGCAATATATGGATATAGATCATCTTGGCTTGACTCATCTTCAATTATAGCATTTAACTGAAATCCATTTAAATCCATATTACCTGGCGACACATTTTATATTGTTATATTTCCTCAGCTGTTAACATAAGCAACTTCCTCCGGGATTAATAACGTTTTCTGATTCTGGTTCAGCTGTCGCCACCTGCTGTGCCCAGGCCGGTTAACGCCACCTGCTACATCTACGCCACCTACTTTGAGTCATGGTAACCCAACAACAGAAACACTCTGCAGCCACTACGATTATATTTTCCCAGCATAAATTTAGTAAATGTAAGGCCAAATAGAATACATCTCAAAGTAAACGTGACTTCGCCCAAAACAAATAGAAACTACTTATTAAAAGAACTAAAACTAAGAACCTTAAATGTTCTCCTGCATGTTATATAAAGATATGTTTCATTGATTTTGTTGTAGGTCTCGGTCTCGATATCGCCAGACTTCATCTTGAAGTTCAGCAGTGGTCAACCGGTCGATTGCAAAACATCTTCCACCCCGACCCACGCACACCTCTATTCGCAAAATATTTCGAGGGAAATTCGGTAAATTTACGTTAAACATGACCGGCTGCGTCTTTGTGCGTCACAGCGGCGCGACAAGGCTGTCCCATTTCGAAGTTTTTTTTCAATAAACTTTATTTAGAACAATGACAATGACAATCTCAAATAGGCAAGCGAAACAGTAGTGTCTTACATCACATTATGTCACACCTCCTTTTTCTTTTAACTTAATTTAAAGAAAATACATCATTGCAACGGTGAAGTTGGTATTTAACAATCAAACCAACAATAATTTTAACTAAACATATATATTAAAAATAAATAAATAAATAAATGAGAACAAGAAACAAAAGCAGGAAAAAAGGGAGACAAGGGGGATCATGAAAGCTTTAGAGGTGAAGTTTTATAAACAAGATATATAACTTAAATAAGGGGGCTAAGAAAAATCAAACTCCTCTAAAACTTTATGCAATTTAATTGCTTGGGGCTTATTTATTAAGTTCAGAGATGTGCACAACAGGGATAGCTCGTTTTTAAGAGCAGGCCATGAAGGGGCATATCGGCATTTATGAATGTAATATTTTGTTATAATGATCAGATTGTTTACCAAAAATCACTATTTTTGTCCTTAAGGATAACGAAAAATAGGATATAAAGCTGGTACAGAAAAAAGAAACGCTTTTAGGTCACGGTCACGTGGTGAGTCATTAGCGGAAGTAGATCTATAACCCCGGAAGTGTATTAATTTTTAAGCGCTGGCCGAGGGTGTAATAAAGGTACTGTGGTTTGTTATTGATAAATATTCAGCATTCTGGACAAGCATATTATTAGAAAAAAACTGCACATAATAATTCATGTTATAATTGCGAGAGTTTAAATGATCGATATTTTACGGCAAACTAACCCGAGGGACTGAACGAGTGCTGGCATTAGCGGGTTGTTTTAGCCCTTAACTACTTAAATTTAACTAAACCCGTGTAGCACTAATTAGCTATACTGTTCTTTATTCACGGCGAATGTAGTTCTGAATGGATCATAACCGCTTGCATGAAAAGAGTTGCAGATTGTAGTACTTTAAAGTACACCACGTGTAGTTTTCCTTCAGACTTGGTTTCTGAATCAAAATAGGTTTGTTTTAATAATAATAATAATAATAATAATAATAATAATATAGTCTTATTTTCTTATCAACTCTCAGTTTAATAATTGATTTTAATCGTTTCAACATGGTTGATCATTGTTTTCCTTAAAGTTCTGTTCCATGACGTACTCCTCTGTTTCAGTTGCACTGTGTATTAAATGTGTTCTATATAACCGGAACTGAATGTTACTTTGTAAATGCTTATAACACAAAGTTGACAGCTGTAATGGTCTTTAGTCGCTAGGTCCTGTCAAAGTTTGGATGACGTTCGTGCATTTTTTCTGTTATTGTATACAAATTAGCCTTTTATTGTAAACCTAATCCCATCTTTATGATAAAATCAATTCTTCATGAAAATATCAATTCTGATTTTTGAAGGCACATGACTAGTCTGCATTGCTCATTATCCTGTAATGCTTGTACTTTGCACTTGTTGCTTGCTGCAGATGAGTGGCAATTCCGATGGAAATAAGGACTTTCATGAGCAGCTCCGGATGCAGGAGCTGTACGGGCAGAAGCCTAAGGAAGGGGATGACCCCTACACGTTTGTGGACCCAGAAGATGGCACTGTGTATGACTGGGATCATGACAAGAAGGCGTGGTTTCCAAAAGTACGCAAGCCATGTATCACACTGTTATATTTATTTGAGAATACAGAATTATGTAGATGCTTGTGTTTTAAAGTGTAAATTCAGTGATTTACTTACTGAATCTACACTTACTCTAAATCCTCATTTGATATCCTGAATCAGAGTTAGCTATCCTGCTTTAAAACAGAACAGCTCTTTTTGAAATTGTTGAAATTGTTCCTGGAAAACCATCATTTAATACCATCATGACAGTTTGTTTTGAAAGTCTGTACAGTAGAATTTATGTTCTTTGGGTGTTTATTATTATTGATATTTTCAATTCAATGTGAAATTTTTAGTGAAATTCAACTGGTTTATTTTTTGTCATCTAAATTACTTGGTATTTCTTCAGTGACAGAAGTTTTTTTTCTATGTTCAGATAACAGAAGACTTCATGGCAGCTTATCAGGCCAACTACGGATTTTCTGAGGAAGGAACTCAGACGTCAGCTGCGGGGGATGCACCGGGCCAGGCCCCTAAAGCCGCTTCAGGGGAAACTCCTGGCCAAGCCGCAAAAGCCACTACAGGGGAGATACCCGTCCAGGCCTCGAACGTGACTGCAGAGCAGACGCCTGCAGAGGGAGCGAGAGAGTCTGCTCAAGGCTCAGATGCTGCACAGCCCAAGGAGAGCAAGCCGAAGGGAGAGAAGCGGAAGGCAGATCCAGGTTGCTCAGCCCTCTCTGCAGCACTGACCCGATTTGGATATCCCAGCAGACATAGTGATATCACACCCGTAAAAGCAATTTCAGTGCCTGATATTTTTCTTTGTTTTTTAAAATTCCATGTCTGAAATGTCTAACCTCAATGTATATCAGTGTAGAAGCTTTTAATTGTGACACATTGTACATATGTTTTAAGACTATATAATGGAAATTACACATGGATTATGTATTTTTAGGCTGGTTTAACTTGGAAGAAGATAAGAACACTAACGTATATGTGTCTGGTACGTGGTCATTTTCTTCCTTACTTGGTTGGCTATGTGGCAAACTACAACTTCTAAAATTTTAATTTAAGAATTATAAGCTTATTCTGCACAGCTCCAGCTCAGCTCCACAAATGCAAATTAATGTGTTACTAAGTATGTATTGTGAGGATTTATTTAGGCCACTTCAGTGGAAATATGAGGCTTTTTCGTGTCTCTTGAACTTTTTTCCGTGCCGAACATGATGTCACCCAAACGGCTGTTGAATAAGATGATCCTGGTGCTTTGAGCCCAGTCACTCGGGGTCTATGTTTTAATAAGCTTTTCAGATTCAAGCGACACAGGTGTTGTATGGCACAGGCCAAATCTTTTACTTTATTTACTTAAAAAAAACCTAGTTTCCATGTTTTTATACTGCTGCTGTCATAGTTAACACCTTAGCATATTAGCATTAATTTTTAAGTCGTATTGCATTTCTGTTGCTCTGTTTTATTGCATGTTCTCATTTTGATATCTCAGTGGGAGAATAGAATGGGAAGAGGCTTTTAGGGCCCCACAATTGATTGCCCCCTCAGGCAAATTTTATTGTCAGGGATGCAGGAGGGGAGGGATGGCAAACTTACTTGTAAGTGTTGAGTGACGAAATCCCTTGTCCTCCACTATGAAAAATAGTATCCAATCCAGTCATTATTTTGGTAGCTCTTTCCGTAGCTCTGGTGCTACTAACTTTGAATATTGGTATAGTTTAAATATCAGCTGGTAATATAGGCCAAGACTGATACGTTGGACTGGTGCTGATATGCAGATTAATGAATGGCAGCTGAGACTGACATTGTGCATCTCAAACCTCAGTGCCTCATTCTGTCCTGCAGGCCTGCCCCCGGACATCACCCCTGAGGAGTTTGCAGAGATCATGTCAAAGTGTGGCATCGTGATGCGAGACCCCATTACTGAGCAGTACAAAGTCAAGCTGTACAAGGACAACGAGGGCAACCTTAAGGGCGACGGACTGTGCTGCTACCTCAAGGTGGCACTGCTGCACCCTGTAGTTTAGCTCCTCCTGTGCTGCTCAGGCAGCATGGAACCTTAACTGGACACGAGTTAGCCTAGCCCGATAGCTGTGTGGAAGTGTCCTCATCATACCTGTAGGGGGCAACAGAGTCCATAGCAGGAGCTAATTAAGAAAATAAGAAATGAGCTGCAAGTCAGAGAATTTCATCTCTTAGCCCCTGTGTAAATATTCCGTGTGTCTTGCTGCTCTCCCAGAGGGAGTCTGTGGGACTCGCCTTGCGGCTCCTGGACGAGTCCGAGGTGAGAGGCTACCAGCTCCATGTGGAGGTGGCGCACTTTGAGCTCAAGGGCCAGTACGACGCCAGCAAGAAGAAGAAGAGGAACAAGGACTATCGCAAGAAGCTTCAGCAGCAGCAGAAGTAAGGCTGCCTGGCCGGCCTGCCTAACTATGCCTGTCCACCTAACCCTGTCTTCCTAACCTTTAACCTTGCCTGGGCAGTGGATCATTTGCTCTAGCGCTTCCTCCCCC